TCCAGTGGATTGTTTTTTAACTTTTTTTGGAAGAACTAGATGAGAAATACAATCCGATTTCCTCCCTAAAACGAAGCTTTTATTAATAGGGATAAAAAATAGGTCCTTATTAACATGAGATAAACTAAATAAATGTTATACATGCCACAATTATGAATTCACAAGTTAACAAGCAAATACCTAGATCATCTCTGAAATTAATACATATTTTTTGTAGGCATTTTTTTTTAAATCACTTAAATCCATCAAAGAATTTCAGACACTTGCTTCTAGTTTTGAGACCCCCTATAGCCTCATCCACCATCTGACTTTTAATCTGCTGCCTCCATCTCATGCTCCTCTCCAGCGTTCTGTGTATATGGATGTAAACTCTGGGTCGTCCCAGTAACAAACCTTGTAGCAGAGAAGCCGGCTGTAAATCTAAGAGGAGGGGGGGGGGGACTTCCAACCCACCTATTTCTGTAGCAGCAGAGGACACATGTGCGGTCAATAAAAAAAGGCCTGGCTGTCATTTATAGTGTCTTGGCTGTAATCTTCTAATTAACACACCTACTATTCTGAGCCTTGTTACTCCACTGAGGACTGGAGGACGAGGAAAGGGATCAGAAGAAGAGCTAAAAACAAAACAAAAGTCATCATTAAAACCAGATCCAGAGACTTGATGTGTTGTTGTTAGCTTCCACTGTTGTTGTGAAATTAGCTTTGTGGCCTCCAGCCACACAGGTGGAACAACTGAGTGCAGGTGTGAAATCAAACTGAAGTACTGGACACTGCGTTGGAAGTTTATTGACCCTGGTTGACCACTGTGCCATGCCAGCCAGGCTTCAGCCATCTGCAGATGGGCAAAGTGTGTGAATATGGGTGTGTATTTCTTACATGGTGGGGACCATTTTCCATAAATTATAGCACATCGTGGAACCCAATGTCTGATCCCTATGGGTACAAATGCTGTTTAGGTTTAGGTGTTAGCTTTAGGACTAAGGTTAAAATTGAGTTTAGGTTGAGGTTAGGGTTAGTAATGAACATGCAATGGTTAGGTTTAGGGTAAGGTTCACGGTTAGGCTGTAGAAATTGGTTAGAATTTAATGGAAGTCACTTGAAAGTCCCCACAAGGATAGAGAAACATGCTAGTGAGGATGCGTATGTTTTACCTCCAATGTGGTGGCATTGTTTTGTAAAATATCCAACTGGTCCCCATATGGTGAAATTTTGTCCTGTGAGTTTGGGTTAGGGTTAGGTATATGTTGGTAATACCTAGGGTTAGGGTAGGGGTCTGGGTTAGGCCATATAAAATACAAGTCAATGTAATGTCCCTATATGTCATGAAAACACAGCGTTGTGTATGGGTGTGTGCGTGTGTGTGTGTGTGGGTGGGTGACACTCCTGAAACCATTGTCTGCATTTTTCACGAAGCTCATCATCAGCAAAGTGACCTATTTCCTCTGTCTGCTGCCGCCTGCTGAACAGAGGTTGACGTAAGGCTGTGTTCTCACCCCTGATCATTCAGGGGTCCACAAGGGGGGAGGTCAGTCAGGGAGCAGCTGACACTAAATAACATGACATGCATTTTTTTGTCCTTTCTTTTAAAACATGAGGGATCTTTCACCACTTTGGCAAAGTTCCATTTGTCTAGATCTGTAGATTACTGTTTGAAAAGTAGTCACACACTCTGAACACATTCCTGATTTGACTCATTAGATCCTCCAACTCCAGTGGGTGTCACTGAGGTTCCATTTGGTTGACGAACAGAAGGTAGTTTCATAATCACAATTTCTTGTGTCAACCCCTCCTATTGTAATACTCCTATAGGAAATACAGTGCAAATGAAGGCATTCAAGGTTTCCTAGAGAATGTTAGCAATCAGTCATGAAGACCTGGGAACACATTAAACAGATCAAAGTTTAAGCTGTTAAAAGCATGGTTAAGTTATAAAGAATATTCTAACGAGTCCTTCAACTGGACAGCTTTCATTCAGGGACAAGAATGCTATTGCTGGGGAAAAAAAGCAACACAGTTATGTTAGAAGTTCAGTACCCAGGTAATCGGAAAAAGGTGCTTTGCAATGTTTTGCCCTTCATATAAAATGCTGCACAATACCTTCAGCACATTATGCCCATGTTGAAACATGGTGGTGGTAGCATCATGCTGCAGGATTATTTTCTTCAGCAGTGAGAGGAAAGCTGGTTATAACTGCTGGAAAGATCAGTGGAGCCAAATGAGTCTTGGACAGAGATTTACCTTCTAACAAGATGGCAAACGTAAACATACTATCATGTCCTACATGCTACATACACACCTGATTCACACTGATGGTTTATTAGCAGGCAGCCCCAGAGCTAGGTGGCATGCTAAGTAAGTAATCCAGTAAACCTTGGTTTGGAGCAAGGACATCTGTAAAACTTGCAGGACACCACTGCATTATGCAACTAAGGCTGTAACTCTAAACTTTGCAAAAGTAATAGTTGTGATTAGGGCTGCAACTAACGATTATTTTGAAAATCGATGAATCGGCCGATTATTTTTTCGATTAATCGATGAATCGGACACAAAAAATTTTTTTTATATTAACCTCTTTATTCCAAAATGGTTCAAACAATAGGCCCCCCCATTTCAACAAATGAGGTTTTTTTAGACTAGAAGAGTTCTGCCTTTTAAGACAGGAAAGTATAGCAGTTAAAGTTGCTACTTGAGAAAATACTGAACCATAGAGATAAAAATAGCCCTGTGATTCAAATTATAAATTGTATTTGGAATAAAAATGAGAGAACTAGGGGTGCTAAAAAACACATCCTCCAAAGACAGATATTTACATGGGAATGTGGCAGATAATTAATTGACATATTACTGATCTTGCTGGATTTTATTCTGCTTTACTTCCATAAATTGCAGGATCTTCTTTACTTTATCTTTGCCAGAAGATTTAAACTTTAAAAGCCTTGCCCTCATAATTTGCAAATTAATTTATTTATAAAGAAAATATAAACGCTGCTTAAGCTAATTCAAATGAAATTAAAAGTAAAATAAGTAGCCAACCTTATCACTGTCTGTAACCTACTAACACGGTAAGGAAAGCATCAGATGAGCTACCTGAGAAACTAACGTAACGTTTCCCCACTTTAAAATGAAACAAGCATGGTTACTCATCCTGCTGATCAGCTCTCTTCACTGCCATTGAAGGCTCCAACGTGTTTTCTTTTCAGGTGCTGTGTCATAACAGTGGTGCTTCCGTGCCATGTTTATTTGTTTTTACAAAAGTTGCATGTTACGACTTTTTTCACTTTACAAAGCGCAGGCTATTTTAATTATTGTGATCAATTTGCGCCGTCAATCCCGGGGCATGCGCGCTTCATTTGCAGTCTGGACGCTGAGGGTAAACTCCTCACTAAAATCCTGCGGCTCGGACTGCAGCGCTGAGAGGGATTCTTGTGGGAAAGGGAGAAAGGCGTTGGGATGGGGGAGGCGCCCCACGGCAGCAGCTGCCGCTGGAGGACTAGAGTAGGAACGATACATGCTTTCACGTAAGAGTCTCCAAAAGCCGCCAGTGACATCGTAAAAAGTCGCCAGATTTGTCGCTAGTCGCTTTTTAAAAAAGTAGTCGCTGGAGGGACCTGAAAAGTGGCTGAGTTGGCAACACTGCAACTGTGGCGCTGACTCGCTCCGCCATATTTTTTTTTCTTCCCCGGGATGACGGCGGCGGCGGATGACGCATTAATCGCGCAACACAACTAATCGATGATTAAATTCGTTGCCAACGCTTTTAAAAGTCGATTTTTATCGATTTTATCGATTCGTTGTTGCAGCCCTAGTTGTGATGTTTTGTTGTTTACATGTATATAATAAATGTAAAAATATTCAATATTTGACTTTCTTGTTCCATTCAAAGTCAACTTTACAGTCATATTATACCAACAGCAATGCTGTCATGATGAACTGACTGAAATGACACATTAAGGTTACTACTAAAGCTGCTTTAACTTAGACCACAATATTAGGTTCTAAAAGAGTATGACTTTATTTTTAACTAAATAATATAACTGAGTTTGAGAAGTAAGGAAAATAGTTTGAATTTGCCTTACATTTAAGTTAAATTAATATAAAGTATTACTTGGAAACAAATTAGATCATTAAGTTTAGTTCACTTTCTAAGCAATTTTTTTAAAAGTAGACCCAGCAGTTTTATTGTTGCAGTGTAGAATGTCCTAGTCAAAGTCTAAACCTAAATCCGATTTCACATCTGTGAAGAAATTTCGTTAAATAAAAAAAAATGTCTCTACTCTCAAACTGAGAAAAAAAAAGTACCCCTAACTTTTTGACTCTCCTTCAGTATCCTATCTTTAATCTTTACATGTTTTTTGGTTCCCACTTCCAGACGTTCTTCCAGCTGCCTGTCTGGTGTCTCATCTTCTATGCTGCTCCATCAGGTTTAGGTTCATATCATCTGTAGTAGCCTCTCTGTCCTCTGCCCCCACCTTACAGGATGAGAACACTGCGTCCGTTGGCACATTAAACATGAACCTGAACAGGAAGTGTTTGGGTCAAACAAATGACATCACCTTTAGAGAAAGATCAGATATCAACAGCGTGTCGTTTGCCACTAAGCTGCAGTAGGTTTAGTCAAATCAACCTAATTTCAATGAAAAATATTTATTCAGTCAGTTTTGCACAGCAGCAAACAAGTATTTCTTTTACATGCCTCTTATGTAAATAATGACATAAATGCAGCCAGTCGTTTTCTTTTTGATTAGCAACACAGATGTTTTGATGCATTGCAGCTTTGCATCTCTTATGTCGTCTTCGTCTTATCCTTCATCCTGTCCTGAGAGAGGCCAGCTTCATGGCTAGGCCCCTGAGGTGGCTGCATATTTGCTGGCTGAGTAAGGAATGTGGTTACATGCCATAGATATTAGCTATGATGGAGCGCTGGCTCCACGAGAAAGGGAGGAGGAGGAGGAAGGCTTGGTTAGAGTCTGAGCTCACGGCAAGTGAGCTCATTCAACCCCAGAGCTTGAGGAGAGGAGTGAAGTTCCGTCATCCTTCTCACACAGAGAGTCATAGGAGGAGGGAAGCAGAGGGAGGAGCGTAAACCGGTGACGGAGCGAATCAGAGACTGGGAGAGTTGGAGCGGCACAACAATAGCAGACTGCTCTTCTGGCTGTGGACACTCAGACACAGAGAGCGTTCAGAGGAACACAGCCGCTCTGTGGAACCAGCTGCAGGCGGATCACAGCTGGAGTTTACATACAGGCGTTTCTAGCTACTCATTTTGTTTTCTTCTTGCTCACAGAGGATAATAATCCTCACAAGACCACAAATTGCCATATATTGATGCAGGAGCATTCTAGGAATTTTTTTGGTTCTGGCACAACATTTTTTGGCCATATGTTGACCTGAAAAGTCTACAGACACTTCTGGACTTATTTCTTTTTTGGATTCTGAAGTATTTTTTTGAAGAAGAGTGGATTTTTCTGAATTTTTAAATATTTAATCTTATTTGGAAAAAGCACTTCTATTTGTGCTATATATTTTTTTTTGTTGGTTTATTTGGCAGGGACTCTTTTTGCCTCTGAAAGAAGGGGACACAGGAACATTTCTTGCTGTGTTTGCTTGAGACAGAGCTTGTACTGAGGGGGATGCCTCTGGATGTGGTGATTGCCCCCGCAGAGGACTGCTTTTGGCCGGACCTGCAGGAATCAGACATGAGGCTGAAGATCAGGGTCCGCCGGATGAAGCAGGGGAGAGAGCTTCGAGGTGTGTATCCACGTGGAGCATAAATAGCTGCAGAACATGTGTGCAAGAAGGAAACAACGTTCACATGAATGAGATAAAAGACCTGTGTGTGAAGAACTTAATGAGAGATAGACATTAGTTATGATTGTTAAAGGTACAAAAGGCATCATGCAGCTTGTAGCTATTGTGATTAATGCATACTGCAGATGGAAGATGGACGGAGGTGAAATTAAAGCTTCCAAATCAAATAAAGCGAGACATCACTGCAGGAACCGTTTTAAACCTGCCGGCTGTTTCTTCACAATGCTTTTGGTGATGGTAACATGTTTAGAGAGACAGAATAGGAAGGTGGAGGATTAGAAGGATGACATCATGAAAATGGAAAGCAATGAACGGAGTGTGGTGGGGGGGTTACTGAGAGCCTTGACCTGCAGTATGACACAGTGTTCATCAACTCTGAGGCTGTGGTCACTGAAATGGTAGGGCTTTCTCAATAACTTTACATTTTTGCAGAAGTGTGTCTCTGGGAGATTATGTTATCAAAATGTGTGCAAGTTGCACTGCAGGTGTGTAATACAGCACATTTTCGCACAGAGCGATGAGGCAATGCAGAGCAAGGGTTCAGGAGAAAGGAAAAAAAAAAGGGTTCCACAATTCATATTCACATTTGTTATCTGCTATAATTTTTTGGATTTATCCTCTTACCACCATTGTGTTTTAGCACATGCTTCTCCAATCAGCACCGTTACCATCATCAGATGAAAATAGCCCTGTATGTCCAAGTACAAAAGCATGTTGGGAAGTCTCTGTGAGAACTGACTTGAACATGCAGACTAAATTATAGGAGAGTTTATGGGCCTATAATGTGGTAACACAACACTGCTAAAACAGCAGGTGATCAAAGTGACAGGTACCCGTTATCTGCACAGCCAGATAGAGGAACAATAAACAGTGTAACCGCCAGCAGGTGTGACAGCATGATAACCATAAAGCTGACACCATGCATGACAAGCGATGATCTCACCCTATTAGTTCATGTCTATTCTGTCCGTTGGCCTATTTCTGACCAATCTTGCCCAATCTAAAACACACACACACTCATACTCATGCTTCTCTTCTGGCTGCAGCACAGCCTTTGTGGAGCTGAGAGGGCCATGTGTGCAATGATGTCATGTTGGAAGGGAGGGAGAGGGGGGGTTACATTGAGATGCTAATGTCCCCTCATAATGTAGGGGACAGCTGGAGGGCCACAGAGGGATGGCGTCATGTCATTCCCCCCCACTCCAGGGCTGTTTAGGTGCTTGTTGGTGTGTTTGCCTGGACCACTTTGCTCCACCCTTTTCCTTTTTATCCATATTGATAGACAAGGTAGAAACATCAACTGAAATCTACATAAAAGATTTTATTGTGATGTGGAGCTCATGTTAAAAATATATGCCAGGCAGATGCTGCATGAGGAGTTTTTATAGTTAGCAGTTTTTATTCAAGTGATGAGACAAGTAAAAATCAAAGGTATTTGAGAATTCATGAAAGCCCCTTTTCGAGTTCAGTTCTATTCCTTTTTGCTGAGCCTTTAAAAATTGAATACTGCTCTAAAATGGAAGCATGCCCATTATCAAAAAGACACTTCACTGGATCAGTTACATTCAAGAGAAATCCATCTGCATTTAGTCAACAATCCACTGTATTTGCAAAGCTTTGACCAGCACATCCCGATTTTAGCTGATTTTACTTATAATAAGAAAATGTAAGGACTACTAAAGATATATGTTTACAGCCTTTCTGCCATGTAGCTATCATTAATTATTTATTCTTAGAGCAGTGATGACGTTTGTGAGGGAGCAGTTACTGTGAATATGATGTTGCTATTTTGAAAGATAAAATTATTTAAAAGGTGGACATTTTTAGCTGTCTTTATCGTTTTATTTAAGCGATTTTCCAAGTTGGAACAGCTACCATAACCAAAAAATAACAGCCTCTGTTTAAACTACTGAGGGTATGGAAAGCTTCTTTACTCTCACTTTGATATTGCCAGAAGACTGTAACTTTGCTGCACTCTGGGAAGCCTTCAAGCTATCCGCTGGAGCGTTGCGCTCTCTCACCCCCGCCCAGCTTGGGGGAAAAAAAAAATGTAGAGATCCCTCTAACTTTTCAAGAAAACATCTCTCCTTTTTTTCAGCAATTGTTATTTTCCTAACTTTATTTTTAGACATATGACACAGAATTAAGCTGAGTTTTAGTCTTCTTTCTGCAGCAACAGCCAAATGCTACGTAGCAGGTCATGGTGGTGGTTATCGGAAAAGAAGAGGATTTTGAGTTTTCATCTGGCCAGTCTGTGTTAAGGGCCAGTTAAACTAAAAAAATACAAAAAAAAACTGTTTCTGCTTAATCTCGAGTTATTACTATTGTCTAGAAAGTAGCATATGAGGTACAGTCTCAGCCAAACTAACACTTTTACTCATTTTCTTCTCCATGATACTGACAAATGAGCTGTTAGTCTTCTCTAAATGCTTTTCCATTTAACCTTAGAGCTTCATTTTCTTTTCAAACTAAAACTTGATTATGAAATTACTGATTTTATTTCTCAATGTAACACTTTTCATTTCTTATCCAGAGAATCTTTGTCAAACCTAAGGAAAGGATGCAAATTAAAGTGTTTCCCACAACCAAACAAAGAAGGCCTGAGTTGTTGGCTTCAGAGAGGAAAATAATAAGTTGCATAAATGATGAAGTGGGCAGTGAGGAACGGAAAAAGGATGCCGATGGCGACACAGTGCCCTCTTTCCTGGTTGTGTTTTCCTTCTTGCCAGAACATTTCTTACTTTTTCTTTTTTTCTGTTGGACAGTGTTTGTTCAGAACTTGTTTGGTCACATCCTGTCAGAGTACATTTTCATGACTCCAGCGTGACAACTTTTCCTTTTCCAACAGAGAACACTAGTGTTCATTTTCTAAATGCATTTATTTTTGCCTTTCGGCGCGTTTAGTTCATCTTTTGGGTTCAACGCAATAGGATGTTGCTTTTCCTCAATAGCACGCTGTATTAACGGTGAACTCACCGCTTCGTATGTAACTTCCTGATGTCATCCCCATGTACAGGGTTTTTCTATGACTCCATTGTGAGTGTACTATTTGTTTAGTTTGGAATGGACTCATCATTTACATGTGGTGACTATTTCACCATGACTTTAGACCTTTTTGGGTATTACCGTATCCATTATGGTGGATTATTTTTTTTTCCTTTCTGTTTTGGTGCCCTTTAATAGGACACGTCAAACCAGCTGTCATCAACTTCTCTGCTTTTCCTCATTGTCATGGCAGCATAAGTAGAGCCGGTTCAGGTGACGAAGTGCCACTAGCACGCTATCTCCTCTGTGACTAATGCCCATTAGAGGCAGCGGTGTAAATCTTTGACCACAGGAAGGTGTTTTGTAATTGACGTAATGCCTCTGTAATGTAATAGCTCCTAAAAAAGCAGGCTAGTGCACTCATTCTGGCTCCTTATCTCTGACTCTAATCCTTTTCTGTGGCAGTAGTCACTGTCTCAGTAGCACTCTCTGCTTTTTAAATGTTAACACAGGACAAAGTCCACTGCAGTAATTATAAATCCAGATCAAAGAGTGCATGCAAATACACACACACACACACACACACACACACACACACACTTTCTCCTCACCCACTAAATATGTGGAACATCCTGTCCGTAGACCTTCTAACAACTCTCTAACAATTTCTGCACACAAAAAGGGAAACGGTTGCCGTCTGACATGAGAGTTTGTTTTTTGCTGTTGATTTATTTGCCTGCAGGAATGCATCATTTCCTCAAACACATACAGTACACCCTATTTATCATCTATTTTTGTGTATATTCTGTGACAAAGGTTCCCTGGGAAAAGACAAACGAGAAGGAAGCCCTTCTAGAAGCATTTCCTCTTCTGTTTTATCAATTAGAGCCGCGGTTCTCAAAGTGTGTGGCGCGACCCACTGGTGGGGAATTGAGACGTGACAGGTGGGGCGCGCCAAGTTCCGGTGTGTGTGTGTGTGTGTGTGTGTGTGTGTGTGTGTGTGTGAGAGACTATAAATATAGAATGTGTGAGAGCAAACTGTCCTTAAAGCTGTATGTTGCCGCTTTTTAGACCAATCAAACCCACAAAGTAATCATTAATAGCCTACATGCAGTCTAATTAAAAGAACATTAGATATGAGAAAAATTTCACCTGGAACTGAAGTGCCAAAATAATGATTGACGTGACGTCGGCATATTATTTGTAACGGAATAAACTTTCGCGCCCCAGTGTTGCCAACTCAGCGACTTTGTCGCTATATTTTAGACCCCTCCAGCGACTCTTTTTAAAAAAGGGACTAGCGACAAATTAGCGACTTTTGGAGACTCTTACGTGAAAGCACGTATCGTTCCTTTTCTTGTCCTCCAGCGGCAGGTGCTGCCGTGGGGCGCCTCCGTCCCAACCCCGTTCTCCCCCGCTATCGCAGAAGTCCCTCTCAGTGCTGCAGAGACACAGCATGTTTACCCTCAGCGTCCAGACTGCAAATAAAGCGCACATGCGCCGGGATTGACGGCGCAGGTTGATCATAAATAACTGAATTTGAAATATTTTATCTTAAATAAATAGGACCAGTTTATTGAAATTACGTCTGACTCCACCCTGAGGCTCAGGTTTAATGCTCAGACTAATAGTGAATTCTGGTTTGGAGAGGGAGTATCCACTCATCGGGCAGAGTGCTGTGTGCATTCTTCTTCCCTTTGCCACATCATATCTCTGTGAGATGGGCTTTTCAACTGTTGCTTCACTGAAAACAAAATACAGATCTCAGCTGAACATTGAGCATGACTTGAGAGTGGCAGTATCAAGCCTGCAACCCCGTTTTGAGAAACTGTGCAATGCAAAACAGGCTCATTGCAGCCACTAATGCAGGGATAAATAGAGCTGTATTGCCAGATGGATTTCACTTCTTTTCTTTTATTAACAGATTGCAGAGTGGCACTTTAATTTTGTCTATCTTTGAGCTTGATACAAATTTTGACACAGCTGCATTTTTATTTTCTTTATTTTTGAGCTTGCTGTTATTTGATGTAGATAGTTTGTATTTAGATACTACTTGTTACTTCAATAAAATTGGAAAATTTTAAGATTGTTGCATATTTCATTAGCATTGTGTTGGGGCGATGGGGACAGGCGGGGCTTGAAAATTCCCCCTTGTCCAAAGTGGGGAATGACAGAAAAAGTTTGAGAACCACTGAATTAGAGGGAGGCTCTCTGTCACAGGGAGGCCTAAAGCCAACTATTTCAGCACATTAATGCTTGTTCTAGCATGACAGCCCACCCTCAGCTTCTACGTTAAGTTTTTCCACTTAAATCGTTATCTGATCATTCTGTTTGCATCTATCCATCTCTGCACTCCACCCCCCTCTACCAAGGAAAGCAGTGATGTCATCGCTCTGCCGGTTGCCATTAATAGCTGGAAACAGACAGGCCTTCTTTGCTTTGCTCTTAAAGGCACAGTGAACCTAAAACAGCACGAGGTCATGTTTTTTTTTCATGCTGTCCTGAAGTGAATATTTCTTATTCATGTAGGAGAGCATGTCCTTACATAATGTTTCCTGTGTTCATTAGCCACTTTCTGCATCTGGGTACAATTGGACCTGCTTGGATAGACAGTTTCACTCACTGCTTCTAGCAGTGATGTCATGTCTCATTCAAGCTCACCCTGTGATCATATGTGTTTTTAACGTTCGCTCTACATTCCAGATTTGGTCCGGCAGGGCTGAAACTAGATTATGTTCTAATCTCCTTCTCTGGGGCTCAAAGGTTTCCTTGAAGCCCTCCCTTTTCCTTTCAGCACTTGGCAGCGAGGTCATTACCCACTCCTCAACACACACTCCCCTAAATCCTCACCCTGTTTCCTACTTTATAGTTATACAACCACACTGCTGCAGAGTAATTATGATTATTATGAGGATATGTGTGTGTATGTGTGCTTGCATTAGACAGAGACTATAAAAGCAAGTGAGAGTGGATTTTAAGCATATGTTGAAAACCAGATTATGCTCTCCATGTGTATTATGTGTGTGTGTGTGTGTGTGAGGGGTGTGTGGGTGGGTGTCAGTGGGATGTTTCTAGGCCTCTGTCCTGGGCCTGCACCTGTGGCCTCTCTCATTCCCTCAGCCTGACGCAATGCACTGCTACAGGACATGAGCTCATGCAGGAAACAGAGCCACACACATTCACATATGCCAAAAGGGGAGCCGCCTGCCTCTTAAAGGGCCAGACGTGCATTCCTGGCCGCCCAGCAGTTAACCCAAGTTGCACACAGAAGCACAGAGAGCCTCTTTTCTTTTGCTTCTGTTTTCACTAAGCTGGAACCAGACATTGTAGCCCAGATTCAGCTTCCAAATGCCTATTGAACGTCTGTCTGCCGTGCTAATGGTGACGAAAATGGAGTTTCCACTGTGCTATGTGACTACGCTGTGGAAAATCATTAAATCACCTAACCGGTTCTTGCCTTCTCTGTCTCTGCAGGAGGTTTTGCAGCTTTTTCCTCCTGTTTCCCCGGCCTGTGCGAGGGGAAGCCTGCCACTGCACTCCCTATGAGCTTGTCCCAGCCCTGTTTGCCTGTGGCAAATGTAGGACCTACTCGCATCCTTCCACACCTCTACCTGGGTTCACAAAAGGATGTTCTCAACAAGGTGAGATTTTCTCCATAATGGTGAAAATTAGCCTAACACTAATCCAAACAACCATACTTAAACTTAAACCTCTTTTCATCCTATCTATACAGGAACTGATGGCTCAGAATGGCATCACCTATGTGCTGAATGCAAGCAACACCTGTCCCAAACCAGATTTCATCAGCGAGAGCCATTTTATGCGTATCCCAGTGAACGACAACTACTGCGAAAAACTGCTGCCCTGGCTGGACAAAACAAATGAGTTCATAGGTAGGAGAACTTTGAACTTTAGGTAAAGATTAGCAGAGCAAAACAAAACCATGAAAGCTTTCTTTGCCGGAGAGTTAATTCCTCTCAAATTTTGCTGTGGTATCCGAACAGCATTTCTGGATGTTATCACAGTGAAAATGCGTTTTAGGTACATTCCTAGATGTTAAAGTAAATCCAGCTCATTGAAATGGGATGAAATATTTGGTTGATGAGACGAAATGGGAATTTAGAAATATTTTATGGAAGCCTAATAAATCCTATTTCATTTTGCCATCTCAAATCATGTGTTTTTAAAAACAGGCCCTCTGTAGGAACCAGACAGCTTTGAAATACTTTGAAATACTAGTCATGTTAGGGCTTTAGACTGTTGCGTAAGTATCTACTGTTTTTGTTCATTAAAACTTGCTTTTTTCTGCTCCAAACAGACAAAGCTAAGGTGTCAAACTGCAGAGTGATTGTGCACTGCCTTGCTGGAATCTCACGATCAGCCACCATCGCCATTGCTTACATTATGAAGACAATGGGCTTGTCATCTGATGATGCTTACAGGTATGTTTGTGCCTTCCAGCCACCTCCAGCTAAGCTAAGGTGTCATCTTTAGAGAAAAGATGAGTCCTTGCTGAAAGAAGAAATCCTATTTATGTTAAGACAGTTTCTAGGTTACAGTTTAACAAAAGTGTTTGCTTTGCCCTGAAAGGACAAAGCAGTTTAATGCATATTGTTCATCAGTACAATAGTTGTTTCTCAGTTGACTTTAGGCTATATTGTATTAATTTTATTAGTTTTTCGTTCACTAATTTTTTGAAAACTCTTGTTCTTCCCCATAGGTTTGTAAAGGACAGGAGGCCGTCCATATCGCCCAACTTTAACTTCTTGGGTCAGTTGCTGGAGTTTGAGAAGGGCCTGCGGTTACTACAAGCTTTAACCACTGACGACAAGAAGTCTGAAAACAACTCCAAACAAAGCTCAGATATTAATGGTGTCTCTTCTGGATTGGAGATCAACGGTCATCTCAACAGCAGTGACTCATCTGTAGCAGATCATCACACCCAGACTGAACCCAAACTGCCATCTCCCACCTCCCTCCAGCAGGGCTTTAATGGCCTGCACCTCTCCGCAGAGAGAATTATGGACACTAACCGGCTCAAACGCTCCTTCTCTCTGGACATTAAGTCTGTCTACTCTCCTAACAGTTCACATTGCCCCAGCATGGCACCCACTCATTCTGAAGACATCCCCAAATTGTGCAAACTTGACAGCCCAGGGACAGGCACCTCCAACGGTGTCTGCTCACAATCGCCCATCCTAGACAGCCCCGGCTCATTCGATTCTCCATTCCCCTCACCAAGCAGCGGGGGCAGCATAGGTGGTTTGGGTGGAAGTGATGGTGTCCATCGGTCTGGTACCTCCTCATCCAGATCCAGACGAAAAACCAAGCACAGCTGTGGCACTTCTCCGGTCCATTCGCATCCACATCATCCTCCACAGACCCTCAGCTTGTCACTGGACCACAAGAGCCCAAGCCTGGAAGAAAATCTTAGGGGCTCCCCGCTGCTCTCACTACCCTCCCTGCCGACTTTAGGATCTGGGGCTATGTGGACCAAACACAGAGACACTGTTCAGGCTACAACTCCCGTCACCCCAGTTACTCCAACCACAGATGCTCCCTGGCATTTTGGAGCAGAAGAAGGTGGCAAGGGAGAAATGGAGCTGGGAGGAGAGGAGGGAAGGGTAGAGGAGTCATCAGTCCGCTTTGGTAGCAGCTCGGTGTACATGGCGTTTGGGTGCAGCGAAGGCGCAAGGTTACGGGACAAATCCCAGAGGGAAAAGTCATCGGTGTCTCAGACTCAGAGGGATCACTGGGACTCCACATCCACGAGCTCCAGCAGCAGTGTACCTGCATCAGAACAGTTTAAGCGGCGCAGCTGCCAGATGGAGTTCGAGGAGGGCATTTCTGAGACGAGAGCCAGGGAAGAGCTGGGGAAAATTGGAAAACAGTCAAGCTTCTCTGGAAGCATGGAGATCATTGAAGTGTCCTGACAGATAATGGACCTGATCCAAGCTGTCCTGTTTGGACAAAAAATGGACCTGTTTCTAAAGGGAGTGCAAGAAAAGGAACAATGAGATGGAGCAGACGAAGGTTGTTGGGATTTTTTAAAGCTCCTCTCCACAGACAGTGTTAAAGACTCCAACTGAGAGAAGGACAGATTCAAGCTGAGAGTTAATGTGAACAGTTTGCAAACCTGGACTGACAGAGCCTCAGATGTGGTGTTTAGGTAGCCATACTCATCCTCTTACAAATTTGAGGGAAGCGCCTGGGGAAAGGGGAAATGAAGGTGTGACTGTTGGTACTGCAACTTTTATTTATGTGATCTCCACCACAGGTTAAAGGATATCACCCCAAGCACACATTGCATCCTATTAAATAGAACTTCCTGATATTCAGACTCATAATGTTTGCCTGTGGTTAAATGTAGTGTGTGCTTCCGTGGGTGTACAGCTTGTGATTTGATCCGAGCCCCATCTTTCGTCTCAAATCTCCATCCCCGTATCAAAGAACCTCAGAACCATGCACGGCTCCATCCACCCCACCACCAACTTCCTACTTGTGGCTTTTTCCGCCCCAAATGCTGCAAAACAACACCAACAACAGCAGTGGACTCCTTAATAGTCTCCTTCTATTATCACAGCACAAAGCAGAGAGGTCCAACAAACTTGACTTAAAGACGGTACTGCAGTCAAGTGACGAAGGATCCTCTACGAAGAAAGGACTAGTGTCAATGGACGGTGTGTCCCTCCAAAGCACAGTGCATCTTTCCTGACTTTAGCTCCTTTTGTTTCAAATGTTAACAGCATGACGAGACCAAGGTTTTTGGATCCTCCTCCCCCCCCAGGCCTTTTCCCACTGAACCTAGCCACCATCTATGGCCCCAAGAGAGCATGCACCTGAAAGGCTGACTACAGACAGACAAATACTATATATATACAATATGAATATATATAGCAATTTTGATGAACTTTTGTTCAATTCTAGTTTTTAATTTATTGTATTGCTTCATTCTGGTAATGAGAAATAATATAATGTTTTGTGGATTCTTTTGTTTTCTGTTATTTTCTTCTGTTGAATTGTTATTATTTGCTGTATGGTATTTATGAACACACGCTCATTACAAATACACACATTCAAACAAAAGTTCAAGCAAACGACATGTGCTGTTCCTTCTTTTGAGAAAGTGATGTATGAGTTTGAGATACACTTTCTTGCTGAGTGATTACCATTCACATTCTGGCGACATGATACTCCGAAAGCAAAGTTTTTGCCTCTTGTTTTGTAGAAAGAAGGGCGTCCCACTGATGAGATCCATCAGAGTAGGTCGTCTATATTGTGAGTTCAGGAGTTTGTCACAACTGAGGGCTCAATAATGACTGAAAAGACTGTTTCATTCAGCTGTGAGAAGACAAGCAAAGAGCGGCCAAACAACTCTTTGATCGCACTCATATAAGTTGAAAAATGAGCCCGACTTACAGCAGCATCAGTCCTGTGGAAAAGTGTTTGCCCCTTACTCATTGATTTTGATTTCGCTTTGCAATACAGATTAATTATATTTTGTGATCAGGTCAAGTTGGTTTGTATTTTTTTTAATATCTTAACAAATGAGATCAGCATTTTCAACGTTATTTTGTATTTACTGTACATGTTTTTGATAGCATGAAAGACGTCAGTTTGAGGCAAAAAAATGCTAAATCAAAACAAATGTTCAAGGGGCCAATCCTTTTTGACATTGTGTATGCAAACAGGTACACACTTTCACAGTTTTAAGACCCACTCCGAGCCAGCATCACATGGTTTCCTACAACAGCTGAAACTAGACAAACATTCACATCACAATTTATGGTCCTTATGCTTACATTATATTCACACATGAATCCCTACATGCACCCGTTCGTTCATTCTCAGGGGATCTATGGTGAGCCAAGCCCAACACAGGGTACACAGCTGCTGGTACATCAGCACAATGCATGTCCATGAAGCACCCTCTCTCTGTTTTTAAAATCATTTAGAAATTTCCAAAGCTTTGATCACAATAGCATAACACAATTGGAAGAAATCTAATCAGGACCTTCATTTTTTTAAAGGGGAAAGAAAGAAAGTAAACTCACTCTCCTGGCGTGAGAAGGATTATTTATTTATAGTGTAAAATGTGTTGATATTTTTATTCTGACCCTGGATTAGCTTTACTGTCTGGCGATCTCTGACCTTTTGACCTTATGCTGCTACAGCTACAAGTTCAGATAGTCATGTGTTTCCTGAGGAACTTTTTCCCCCTTTTTCCCTATATTTTTAAGAATTGTTATTTATGCTATATAACAAGAATGATGCAGGCTGTCCCATTTGCTACATTGTTATTATTATTATTATTATTATTATTATTATGGTACATAGCCACGCATCTAAGAACACTGATAAATCTGACAAGTTTGTAAAATGAAATCCTGATACCTTAGGCTGCTTGATGCAAAAATACCTCAGGTTCTATTGAAAGGCTTTTCCTTCCCCTGTACATGTTTTGTGAAAATGAGACAAAAATACAGACATGACAAAATACATACCTCTTGTCTGCTTCAGCTTCTTGTGTGTTTGTATGCATGGGGTACAGACATGGGACTGCCTAATAATCCAAGAACAAAAACAAGACAACTGAGTTTTGAGCAGATTTTTTTCAACACTTAGGTGGTATGATGGATGGATGGATGGATGGATGGATGGATGGATGGATGGATGGATGGATGATGGATGGATGGATGGATGGATGGATGGATGGATGGATGGATGGATGGATGGATGGATGGATAGATAGATAGATAGATAGATAGATAGATAGATAGATAGATAGATAGATAGATAGATAGATAGATAGATAGATAGATAGATAGATAGATAGATAATATATTTATTTTTCTAACTTGTAGAAAACCTAAAGCTTAGATCAAAATGTTTCTCAAAAAATATTTCCTTGGTTAATAATTATTGAATGTTGTAAGTAAAAACAGCACAAAATGATCTGGGACACATAACCCAGTATGAAGGTGCAAATATATTGTATTTATGTCAGATAAAAATATCCAACTTAAAAACCTTATTTCAATATTCTTAAGGGAACAGCTCTCAAAATTTACTATTTTGACAGTTAGCTTCATGAATTATAATTCTCATTTTAGTTTTTTTTTTGTAAGAAGTTTAAATGTAAGTAGATTTATCCTTTAGCTAGATTTTCCCCATTCATATCCCAATGAAACGTTTTTAATCCTTTATAGGGGACTCAGTGAAAGACTTTGGAATCCCCCACAAGAACTTATTTCCTTTGCAATATTGAAATATATGCATATTTTAATGGCCAATATAATATCAATGTAATATAAAGAAACAACCATTTACCATGATAAAAAAAAAAAACCAAAAAAAACAGCTCCTCTATAAAAGAAAAATTTAGTAAAAAAAAACGCTCAGAGTGAAAGAAACACTTTTTTTGTTATCTCATAACCTTATAGAACATTAATGCTGATACAGGCGCTTACATTTTTTGCTTTTTAACTTAGCTTATTCATTTTTAACTTTTCAATTAGTTTTCTAATTTCTTTCTTAACTTGTTAACTTTTTTTCAACTTAATTTAAAGTAGGTAATATACAGTTCAAGGGCTGATCTAATTGCTCAAATACCAAAACTACATGTACACCCATGTAGCAGTATATTTGCCAATAGGCTGGATAACAATCTTGTGCTTCTAGATCTCACTGAGTGGGGACTCCATTTGTAAGGGGTATGCAAGGGTTTTAAAAGTGTAACTTGCTCTATAAAGGGCTATAAATGTGATTAGAAAATGTAAAAGTGCCGTTAAATCAAGGATGTATGGGCTTACCAAAACTCATACTTTATGTATTTTGTCTTAAACATTTACCTTATTGATCTTTAACATCTAAGAGAGCACCCCCATGGTTTGAAATGGAAAATAAAGCAAGCATGCCTCTCAATCCCCAAACATATGACTACTGACTTCTAGCTGAAGACCCATCCAGTCTTTACTCATTTACATTTTGGCAATACCTACAGGTGAGATATTAGTTATTTTCAGTGTTTAGCTTCCAACTAACTGTCTTAAATAAATCCGCTCTGGTTAATAACTCTCTTAAAATGACACAGAAATCCTCTCTAAATATTATTCTAAAATAATTCAATAAAATAAAGATTTACCAGTCACACTGAACAGATCTGGGAGGGACCTGAAGCTGTCATTTACTCATTTAGGTTGGAATAAAAATGTGTCAAAACTTGAAAAAAAAAAACTCTCTTAAGAAATCAGGTGAGATTAATACAATTTAAGCATCATTACTGGAAACCAATAAGGTTATACAGATGCAGACTTAAGGATATTTCACATTTTTGGAAATGCCAGAGCCTAGAGGGTAATCTGCTTCAGAAATAGTAATCTTAGCATAACATAAGTTCCTGTATCAATAAAAAAAGGCAGGTGATATTTTTGAATTCTTCCCCAGACTACATGTGCTTAGAGACCCAGTGCTTAGAGCATGCCAAAGCACACAACTAATTTTAATAGTAATAATAATACTTCAATTCAATCCAGGTGTTTTATATATATAGCGCCAATTCACAACAGATGTTATCTCAAGGCACTTTACAGAGACAATTCAACCAGATCATACAGCCAAATTGATTTACCGGTAAGATTTTCTATATGTGGAAAACCAGTTGATAGCATCAATTAATTGACTTGAAGGCAATCCCTTTCACCAAGCATGCTTGTAGCGACAGTGGAGAGAAAAAAAAAACTACCTTTTAACAGGAAGAAACCTCCAGCAGAACCAGGGACAGTGTGAGCGGCCATCTGCTGAGGCCGACTGGGACCCAAGGAGACAGAAGCAGACATACAGAAAGAATGAGGAGATAAATAGGCACTGTCCATCAACTCCTCAGGTGACCCCGTCCATGAAACTCACAGCCAGGCAGACAAGCTCTGAGCCAGCTCCCATGTCAGAGGATGAAGAGAGCACATCCAGCAAGTTTCAGTCAGAGAAACAGGACTACACTGAAAAAACAGGCCAAGCTCCATAAACAAAAGTGTTGATGGCAGCAGCACAACTGATATTTTTCTGCGGGATGACGTCACAGCAAAATAGGAAAAGACCAGATGAAACTACTATGAGAAAAACTAGGTAAGTAGATAAATGGTAGATATGTTCTGTTAAGGGAAGTAAAATGTATTGTTATAAATGTAGTATAAAATACAGTATTATAGAATATCTGAGGCTATGTTTCTACAGATAAAAAGAATTATGCTGTTCTTTGCCTAACAGAAACCTGGCTTAACAGCGAGATTCCAGACTCTTACAAATGAACGGTTTTCAGCTTTACAAGTGAACCGTCACGTCTCATCAGAGAAAAGGAGGAGGAGGTAAGGTTACTAGCCACTGGTCTGAGCCTAGGAATGTATGACAGTGAAATGTCTGCTGTTCTGTCTGCCATGGGAATTTACTGTTAAGCATTGTTTACATCCCACCGGGAGCTAAAGGAAATGAAGTATCAATGGAGCTGTATGACAACATTAGCTCGCTGCAGATAAAGGCCTTTATGCGGGGGACTTTAATCATGTGAAAGTGATGGAGACTGCCCAGTTTTTAGCAGTATTTCACCTTTTACCAAAGAGGGAAACTGTCTGGACTGGGCGTACACTAACATT